TACCAACTTCTTGTTTTATTTGCCTTAATTGATTCTACCGAGAAAAAAAAATATATATTTGAAATTAAAACCTTTTATCATGAATTTAGAAAAGCAAAATAATTTGTTTATTGATAATAGAAACTTGTAATTCACTAGCATACTTCTGCCAACAATGCTCTATCTTTATATTCTGCTAATTCTTTACTAGTTGTAGAAAGCCTTCGCTGCATTCCTTCAACTGCTTCTTTTATTTCAGATTGTTTAGCTATTTTGATTATTCATTGATATGTTATAAGTGGATAAAAAAAGTGCTTATATTTAATCATCTAATAGAATATATGAAATAAAATATAAAGTGTTGAATTTTTCATATATATATAAAATTAAAATTATCAATTTACCAGCTTCAAATTCTTCTAAAACGGCTTGTAAATTTGCCAAACTTTCAGATTCATTATTTTTTTCAATTTTCAAAGTTTCTTTTTCGTTTCTTAATAATTCTGTTTCCATTTCAAAATGTTTTATGCGGTTAAGTGAAACCTCTTTGGCACTTTTTAATTCCATTGCAACAACCTCCAATTCTTCTCTTTCACTCTCTGAACGATCCAAATCGTTTTGTAATTTTTTAATATAATTATCTTTCTCGTTAATTTCATTGGCTGATTGTTCTTGTATCTCAAAAATGTGAGATTGTAATGTTTCCAATTGACTTGTTATCCTTTGATTTCCTTCGTTAACAACCGAAAGTATAGAAGATAAGTACAGTGTGATATTGCCAACATATAATGAGCGAGGAAATTTACCAATACTTATTTGGTTGCTGGCAAGAACATTTAAAGAACAGTTAAATATATTGATTAATATATATTTATTAAACTCTGTTTATAAATAATTGTTAATCGTTATTCTATAATATAAATATATTTGTAGTGATTTAAATTGGGAAGTTATTATAGTCGATGATGCTTCACCAGATGGTACACAAGAGATTGCATTACAACTTGCAAAAGTTTATGGACCGGATCAAATAGTTAAAAGTTTTTTTATTTTGCTTTAAGAAATTTTAAGAAATTTTCCTGTAGCAATCACT